CCGCGCACTGCCTACCCCAAATCCCGGATATCGAGTGTATATCTCGAGTGAAGCCTTCTGTAAGCAGCCTGTTCCGCCTGATAGCCGTGGCGCTACAAATGATTACTCCTGTGTGTTCTAGGGGTTTCTTCCGAGAACGCGCATTATACGGTCAAAACGGTGAACTAGATGCTCGGGGCTTTTGACTCTTGATGGTAGAAAACAAACCCAATATTCGAGGTGGCTCAGAGGTACATTTACATAATTGGAGCAGCTGCAATCACCAATCAATACTCTGCTTCTTCCTGTCTTTTCGGTCTCATTGTGCTTACGTTAAACTATCACCGCTTTTTACATTGGTATTGTCGTAATAGTATTTTGCTGTCCAAGATTGTTACTTCCGGAGGGTATTTCGCATAACCTCTGAAAAGCCGGTCGGGCGATCCCTTCTTGGGAGATCGCCTGTTTACGCCGATACACACACACCACACACACACACACACACAAGGGGTGGAACGGGAACATACTTTGGGGACAGAAAGTGATAACAACTGATAAGGGCTGATAAAAGGCGCTAGAACGCAAGTGTCGCGAAATTCATAGCTCGGGCACCAGTGGTCGTCAGGAGTTGGTTTCAAGATATGATATAGGGGGTGGGACGGGAACATATTTGGTGGGGTACAGAAAGTGATAACAACTGATAAGGGCTGATAAGGAGGCGCTAGAACGCAAGTGTCGCGAAATTCATAACGAGCGAGCCAGCAGCAATAAGGTGTCGGCTCCTGTAGAGAGCGCGGACGGGGAACACATTTGATGGGTGACAAAGCGAGATAACAGCTGATGAAGGACTGATAGGAGCGATTAGCTTGAAAACGGTGAATTCAGTCGTCAGTCAAATTTGCAGCTGTGTCGTGAGTCAGCATCCTTTCGCCCGCTAATTTGCCCGAGCTCCTCAAAAAACTCAGTGTTGGCGGAAATACGATAATCAGTGTGTTTCCTCCTATGTCACCGGTATAAGAAATTGTACAGCCGCTAAACCATTACAACATCCGAGGCATGGTAGTTGTTTACGCTAAGAGCTGATAGTAAGCAGCCAAAGTAATTGTATTGCTTATTCCAAGCCTAATCGGCCGCTAGACCGTGTTACTTTTCGGAAAATGGATGTTTATGGGTATTGACCTATGAGAAATTACAGCTTTATCACCAGCACTGTAATAACCCTTCGTTAATAACATCAGTCAAATGCATTAAATGCATGCGTGTTGCTTAATACAAGAGCCCGGCTATGCTCAGTTTACTGGAGCCTACTTTGACATGCGCGCGGTTGCGAGCGGAGCAAAACTGGTACCAAATAAGCTAAGCGAGGCGAGTGTCGTCCGTGTGAGTGTCCGGTCCAACGGCGCCCACGCTATCGTCGACGGCTTCAAGAGCTATACATTGTAATGAGAGTCACAGCTCAATGACAAAAACAGGTCTTGTTTTCATCGCATCACGCCACAATATGATAACTATTACAACACTATAATAACTATTTCTCACCATTCTGGGGGTCTGCTTTTCAGGTTGTTCTTCGACAGGCATCTCAACCACCCTCTCAGCAGACTTATCAGATGCCTTCTCAGCCGAGCTCATAGGACTTGCGTAAGCGCCTGACTCTTTGAAATCTTTCGCATCCTGGAATACTGCACGTTGAAGTCGTAAGCATCAGAACAGGAGCTTTTACATAGTCCGAAACATAGCTTATGCGGATCACGAGGAAAAGTTGATGTTGACGCATAGTTGCTTTGAGGTATCACCCTCAAGTTAAACAATGCGGGCCCATTCCAACCAATCCCACCGTCGTTCGAAGATACTTCTCACCTCTCAAGAGCTTAGGACTGGATCGGAAAAATCTCTAACCCGAGCAAAGGTAGAGCGGTCTGCAAAAGTACAGATGTAATGACTTCACCTCGTAACATGGCTAGTCAGAGGGCTAGGCTTAGGAATGCACACGGAGCTCCACCTAGCACACGGGACCGCATAGGAATTGGCCGTCAAAGGCCATTCATGCTCTAGCTCGTATCCACGTTTTCGCGCTTCGGGATGCAACGACATCGTTTGCATGAATACATGCATGAAATCGCCAAGCAGAAACGCGAAGGCTATGACGGATTCTGCTCTCGCCCTATTTCTTTTCACTTCTGCGACTCTCACCTCTCGGCGTCTACGTTTTTGGTAACCCGCCACAGCCTGAAGGAGGCCGGTTTCTTAGAGAATTTTCTAGGGATGCTATTTTTTTCTTCACTCTGTCAGTCCCGCTGTACCCACCACTTTCGCTTACGCGAGCGGAACAATCAACCTCAATCAACCTCGTCATGGTATGTGTCTTTAAGACGACACACGTTGAAGGAAATCTGGAGAAAGACTGTTCCCTTCTTCAGAGAAACGTGAAACGCATGGATAAAAGAGTAACGCCTCCGGCTTTGGTCTCTTTCCTCCTAAAGTACGTTAGGAATCGCCCACCGGAAATTCTGTATCGCGACTGATTCGCGATTCTTAGAAATTTCTCAGATGCGTGGCAAAACAAAAAGCGCTTATCTTTGGGAAAAGCTTTTATCTCGTAGCGGGGATAGGAATGTAATGCGCATAACAAAAAACAATATATAAACTGGTCGATTGAGGATTTTTCTTGTGTCTGTTCGACTTCCGCTCGTCGGCTTGTCGCAGTTCGTATTTCTGCTTGCGACCATTTGGTCGCTTTGTCGTCTGTCGGCTTTCGCCTACTTTGCTGGTGATTACAATAAACTGTTGGTATTCAACTGTCCTCAAGAACACTGAACCACCGACAAGGGAAAAGGTTAGGGAAATCGTCAGATTTCGTCAAATTCTGTATTCATTCTCACTTAGAACTGATACCTTACAGGAAAGGCATTCAACTTCCCATGGAACTTTGAGGTGAGACCCAGATATTTCGATAGAGCTTTAAACGCTGATTACGAATATGGAAACTGAAACTGCAAAATGAGCCTGCCAAGGAAGCTGCGAGCAGTCAAAGTTGGCTGCGCTCTTACACTGGCCTCCGGTTGCAGAGTCGTCAGGGAACAGTGTGTGTGTCTTCGCTACTCACCGGAGGTATAACTTTCCTCCCGTTGGACGGTGCACAGGGGCAGCCTAGTGTAATGTCAATTCAGCCAATTGCCTGCGCTCAGCAAGTGCCTTTGCAGATTATTTTGCAGTTATTTGGTTTCCATATTTGTAATCAGCGTTCTGAGCTCTTGGTATCATCTTTAAAGTTTCTGGTGGAGCTGAATGCCTTGCCGCTTTAAGTCCCTTACTTCATAAGTACAGCAGAAAGGACGGAACATACATGTCTGATTTGATAATAGTCCAAATAACCAGGTAGAGTATCAGGAATTCAAATTCCTGCGGAATAAACCGACCACAAATGAGCTGTGCTTGAGGGTTCAAGGCAGGGTCAACCGTCACGTTCGAACATTTTCGGGATTTTTGCGACCCCCTAGCTCTCGAGGGGGTCCAGTTGCGACCCCCTGTTTTTGTTAATAAGAGTGCTAGACATGAATCCGTTGCGCCAGAAAGCGTCTGCGCGTCGTCGCGTCGGCCTTGGAGCGCGGCAGGCAGGGACGCGGCGAAGAAAAATTTTAGAGGGGAATAACTTTCTTGGGACGTATTTTTTTGACTTGTTGAGGTAGATTTTGATTGTGCCTGAGGTGCGCTTCCAGAAAACTACAAGGATTGCCTAACTCTCCGGAAAGTACTTCTGTTAGAAGTGGAAAACCCAAAATTCTAAGAAGGCGCACCTTCAACTTTGAAGGCCCATAAAATCTTTCGTATGCGACATTTTGGAAATCTGTAAAAAGTTTCAGAAACTTCAAATATTTTTCTCTAACAAAACAGTATAAAAAGTTTAGTGATTGTCCCCTTTTTCAAAAAATTGTCCCGTTCGAACATTTTTCGTGCAAAAGCGAGTTTTTGCGCTTTCAGCAGGCAATGCGCTCATCAAAAAACTGCGGGAGAGGTCAGCACAAGACACATACTTTTGCTTTTCATAACTAAGCGCCTCCCGAAGGAAGGAAGAGCGATCATGTCATATGGTGCAATGTGCGAGATTTCAGAGGTCATTACCCAAAACGCCAAATCTACAGAGGCGTTTCCGGGTCGAACCGGACGGGACGGGGGAGCTCAAACGACTTACAACGAGTTGGAGGTGATATGAGCCGCATCAGGTTGCGCTTCTTGCTTTTTACACGTGGATCATGCACTTCTTGCCACAGCTAAGGGCTGGCATGCGTTCCCGCCTATCGCGGCATATACCGTCCATTATAAGGGCTTTCACAGGGGCTGTTACTCTTCGGGGAGTCGTTCTTTAGAACTTTACAATGAAGAATCAGTAGTGTCTACGCGGACGATTCTTTGAGCTTTCTTCGAAGGCGGATGGATGTTACGAAATGAATCGTTGGCACGGGCTGGCCATGAACTGGTGGTTGCCAGTATGACGGTTAAGCTGCGTGGCGATGCGAGCCTTTTCGTGCGCGATACACGCCTGTTACTCGGTTGGAGCCCAAGTTTTTTTAGTTCATATTCATATCGCTCCTTCTCCCTCATCCAATTCTCGTAGTAATCTCCTTACTCAGAGTCGCTGTCAGGACCACTTGAGTACTATTTTGCATGTATCCAATGACCAGCCTGAGCCAGAAGGACGTTCGGGTCTGCGACTCTTCCCACATAGGCAACTGAAGAGCTTAGTTGGCCCGCGCAAAATTCATCAGGATTTAATCCCAAATCGAATCCAGCCTCAACCAATTAAACTCCGAACGGCGGGTTCAATAAGCAGAATAGTTTCTCACTGCACCAACTCTGCTCCTAAAACGCTCGGTAACTTTTTAATCGATACATCGCTTCAAGCTCCGTGTGAAAGGTAAAGAGGACCAGATCTTCCGAATGACCAAATTCTCTAGTGTTTCTGAGAATGAACCCATGAGTCGTTATTACGTAGTCTTGAATTATACGAAAAATGTAGATGTAATACACACCACTTCCTCCTCGACCATGTCTTCATCTTCAACTGTGACTGTCGCTATAAGAATGCAGAGCTTTTGAAGATTCAATATACAATCATGCCACAAAGTGGTCATTCAACACCTGAATTGTGACCGTTACCATTTCGGGATGTTTTGCAACCATAGGAATCATAAATTTTTCATCGTCTGAAGTCCCCATTGCAAAATTCGCGGTCGCCGCTCCAGTATTTCGACTCAGCGCCACCTGAAGAAAGAACGAATTCCAGTACAGAGATTCCTTCAAATATTTTCTTGCTTCTTGCCTGAATATTCCAAACTTACAAGTGTTCAATGAAACAAAGTCCCTGTTATCATTTTTTAGGAAAATTTGTTAACTACTATTTGCTTTCCGTAAAGAAATGCAATAGCTGTTGGTTAAGTCAAAGCGGACTTTTGGATTGAGTCATAAGTAATGTGAGCTTTTGAACCCTAATCACTTTTGCCAAAATATGTTCATGGAGCTCTAGTCAATACGGTACTCGCCGTAAAAACTCGAAAATTCACACGAAGGACGCGAAGACGCAGGATGGGCGCGAACACCAGTGGATGCTTGAAAAGTCTAGCTTACTTCAGAAAGTGACGTTCGGCCTTCTTACCAAGGCTTTACAGAAATATGGGCAGTCTATCATCCAAACACGGAGTTTTCACTGGGTGGATGTGGCTCGGCAGCAAATGTTAGGTGCAAAGAGTGGCTTTCCGACAAGGTTCTGTTCACGTTTCCTTACAGTGCCTCTTTAGGGACCTCAAACGATGATACTACCGCTAGCGCAGACATCTACTGCTTGCAGATGTCGCAATGTTACGGCTTCGTTAGATGACAACTCCTAACCACGTGTCCGAATCAAAGCGAAAAGGCTATGCAGAAACTTGGCTTCCTAGTTCTCCTCAAGCTGTTCCGTAGAAACTGATTATCACTTGTCCGGGTATCTGTTCAAATTCCTGAAGATAGTCATGATAGCAACACGCCAGAACAGAAACTCCGACGCATTCTTTGATTAAATAAATCTTTGATGTAAGTTTTCAGTATTGGTACTTATGACTCGATCAAGATCTTTGAGAATCTGTGCTTATCAAGCAATGAAGGTTTGTTGTCCTTCTGCATTTTCGTTACCACCGGAACCCACCACTGAAATTTGGAGCCAGGTTCATCACGCTCCACATTTTTGGTCTATGAATTCTCGACTAATGGGCTGTCTGTCACACAGATCAACATGCTCCTGGCTCTGTGGGCAGTCCGCGAAAGGGTATATGGACTAGCTAACAGACAGAAAGACATAGCGACCAAATAATGAGGCGATATCGCAAGATTTGGGGATCCCTCTAGGACCAAGCCTAGGAGGGGCAGGAACACCAGAAAAAGGAAAACTGTTCCGCATCTTGAAGTCACTCCTTCCCCCCGAGGCTTGGTCCCTTTTCACAAAAAGGAGATGTTAGATGCCACGCGGTTTTGGGTGGATCGCCATCACAATACCTCCGTATCTGGCGATAGTGCCAAGACTGACAAAACAGCATGGCTACTGAGGGATGAGCTTATATGACGGTCGGGTATGGTTCGCTCGTCTCATATTGAGCGGTGATACTTACCATATCAGTCCAGAACTGCTACTGACGGCTGCAAGCACAAAGCCTTAACACATTGACGACCGCGCGCGTTTTGGCTTTTTTGGCCGTGTGGGACCGGGCCGATTTTGCGAGTGCGACCGCCGCACCTCGGATCCGTGAATTTTTATTGATAACTTTTTAAAGCACCAGTGGTACAAAAACATCTCAGTAACAGTCAATGCGTAGAAGGTAATAGAGTATATAGTGACGAAGTTCCGATTAAAGAACATGTAATGGTAATGAAAAAGGAAATTTTAGTCATTTTATCTGTAGTGGATGCCAAAAGCTCTTTTGATGTGGTTATACCAAGTGAAACATGTATTTTTCTGTCTCTTTAGATTTGCATTTACTTTCACTACCCTTTTTTATTGACGTGTTCATGAGAATAGCATGAAAACTATTAATGAACCAAGCCGCCGGTTTCGGTGAGCTTGGAAAACTTCTTCTAAACTGGAGCATATTTGAACAAACAATGACCTATGTCGTTCACAATAATGTTATGTTCTAATCCATAGAAGAGAGACAAACAATTCGGGAAAAAGCTGCGCATGCCCTAGAAAAAGGGATGATAAGGGTGAGACGCGGTAACGCGTCTCAATGTCCAACGAGGTGCGCAAAGTGAGACGCGTTACCGCGTCTCAATGTCGTCAATGTGTTAAGCATAAACCTTGTACCGACGTAACGGTTATTTCCATTCTAGAAGAGCTGAGTAAGGTGTATCCGTATTTTCAGCAAGGCTGTCTTGTCGATGTTGCCTGTCCGTCCAATCCCAAAAGTAATACGGTATAAGAGCTGAAGGCTAATCAAACCGCTGACGAGATTGGACTGCCCTCATTATTGCAAGATACGGTACCATACCTTACGGCCACCTCTGAAGGCTCGGTACACGTTTGTAACAAAAAAAGATGTTCGACACAGGTTTGGATGTGTGACTGAAGCCACCCCCCGTATCTTGCGATAGCGCCGCCAACCGTTCACAAACCTAGGAACGATTCAGTGTTGAGATGTAGGATTTTTGATGCCATGATTGTGATAACGATCCCTTTTTCTCTGTTAACATTGGAAGACATCGAATATTGTACTAATATACTACCAGATTAGTCCCCCGTCAACCGCCGGGACCTTCCTTTCCTGCGCAAGCTTTCTATCCTCCGCTATGGTCCCTTCCTCCTGTGACACCAACACCTCCTGGAAGTGACGCGTATGCAACACAATGGTGTTTCATACAGTAGAAGGGACACAATCATGATATGACGGTAGATTTTTCGCTTCCCTTCCTCATCCTCCCTTCCTCTCTCCACTGCCCTCCAGCTGCCACTGCAGCACCATGTGGAATGAACGGAAGTGTGCTAAGCAGGTGTTTATATAGCCCTAAGAGTGTTATCACAACTATCCTGCTAAAACATTGATATCTCAAATCCTGTAAGCTACCCGATTTGTTAGCGGTTTGTTTATCCCATGAGCTTCCTTCTCACTCACTTCATTTTGCGGACGGACACACATACATACATACATACATACACATACATACATACACACACATACACAGACATACAAACCGACACACAAAGTTAGCGCTTTATAAAATAGAAGGATTTCAACGGTGTCACTATTGTCGTTTTGGTATCAACCTGCGGAAAACATTGGGCCCTTGGAGGGGGGAGGGGGGAGGGGGGACATTCAAAACAGGGCCGATTGTAGGTGAGACTATGACTGAGCCAGCAAAGGGGAGAAACACCAGTCACGATAACACGAATACTACTGCTCCTTTAAGATCCTTCCCCCCCAACCCATAGGCTTTGTAAAAGCACAGTAAATTGGCTTACACAACTTGGTGTCCCCCCCCCCCAAACATGAGCCACAGACATCGGATTCCCAGGAAAAGAGAGCTCGACGGCAGTCTTGGAGAACACTGATAACTGATCGAATATTATTGCGTAGAAGTCGTCCTTACCAGCTCATCTTCGTCCAAATCCATGTCACCTGAAAGAAATGCATAATCGATAAGTTTTCAGTTCGCGAATGGGATAAAGAAAACGCCGATAACCTGCATATCCTACTGGCAGACAGGCGCCCCAGAAATAACAAGAAGCCGAGAGTTTACGATTGCTGACGCTCATATTTTAATTTTTTGACGCTATCGCAATATACGGGTCGTAGTGACAATGCATTTGAAACCACGCAAAAAATCCGATTGTGTTGAAAACCCACTAAACCCCAGACGGAGGAGGAGGGAAGCCAGGGTGCATGAGCAATTCCCATTCTCCTCGGAGTCGCCCCTTCCTAGGCTTGGTCCGGAGAGGATGCCCCCGTACTTTGCAAAAGTGTCAATTTTTTTGTGCAGATTCGGACTATCTCTTCATTTTTTTGCCGGTTAGGATTACCTCTTCACTGGAAAATGAAAATGTCTAGGCGGCATTCAAAGATGGCGGTCGTGCTTACGTGTGCGCGATTACGGGATGGTCTATAAGGGAAGGGATACGTATCGATTGGGCGAGTAGGCGACAGGGCGATCGCTGAGTGGTGGGGCAAGTAGCACGAAACGTTTCAGTTTCATTTCATAGAAGAATCGTCTACATCGTCTATCGCCTAATCGCATACGTATGCTTTCTTTTAAGCAGTGCTGAGTCGGCCTAGTCGCGCAGGTACGATCGCAAGTGGTGAACTCTGCGGACTCGTATCGCATAGTACGGGGATGCGTGGAATGCTTGAAACAGTCCCTTTGTTTGAAACGGACAACGCCTTAGGCGATCGGTAGACCGGGGAAGGAGGAACATCCAGGGTGGCAAGAACCCATTCACTCTCACCGGGATATCTTGACCTTCTATGGCCTACATTACTCTACAGGATGCCCCGTACATTGCGATAGCGCCAAGTCTTCCTTAACACTCAAGCTCTCTTCAAAGCACGTTATCGGTTCTCATAGCATTTCCTGGTGCATTGCATCACTGTGCGCCTATCGTATTCGAAAAAGGCATACTCCCCACCTGCTTTTACAAAGGCATAACCAACCTTTCCGCTTTCTCCGTTTGCGTTTCTTCTTCTTTAATGCTTCTTTTGAATCCTAAGAAGACTTTACAAATCTGGATCTGCATTTATTGGAGAGGAACATCGAAATCCTACTTTATCTTCTACCACATTTGAAGCAGCAGACTCCTTCGACTTCTTCTCTTCATCTTCCTTCAAGCCATCCATCTTCACATCACCACTAGCAATGATATTGAACCCTACTACCCCTATCACCCTTCAACTAACAAAACCCAAACCGCATATAATCATGTATCAGGTCGACTATTCAGAATGACAATTTCAAAGCTGATCGTGGGAAGCAATGAGATTCGAAAGTGAAACTTTGGCTATCAGAATCCAGTGAAAACGTTAGGAGACGAAAGATCATAGGGACGTGTGAGGCACAAACGCGTGCCTTGGGTCGCAGGATGGGCTCACAGAAAACATATTGTTAGAGCGATTCGCCAAGGTGTCGATCCAACGATCTCTTCTCTGTGAGTCCACACCAATGCTGCTGCGCTTTTCTACTTCATACTTGCTTTCACAGGAGAGTTTATAGTAGCAAATTAACAAAAGCAGATTTAGAGGCAGGCCCCAGGGACAATGGGGATTTAAAAAAAAAAAAAAAAAAAAAAAAAAAAAAAAAAAAAAAAAAAAAAAAAAAAAAAAAAAAAAAAAAAAAAAAAAAAAAAAAAAAAAAAAAAAAAAAAAAAAAAAAAAAAAAAAAAAAAAAAAAAAAAAAAAAAAAAAAAAAAAAAAAGAAAAAAAAAAAAAAAAAAAAAAAAAAAAAAAAAAAAAAAAAAAAAAAAAAAAAAAAAAAAAAAAAAAAAAAAAAAAAAAAAAAAAAAAAAAAAAAAAAAAAAAAAAAAAAAAAAAAAAAAAAAAAAAAAAAAAAAAAAAAAAAAAAAAAAAAAAAAAAAAAAAAAAAAAAAAAAAAAAAAAAAAAAAAAAAAAAAAAAAAAAAAAAAAAAAAAAAAAAAACCGGAAAAAAGAAAAAAAAAAGAATCCGTTGAAAGCGCTTAGGTCGAAGGGCTCACTCTCTTCCGAACAGGCTGTGCCTAAGGGTATGAGAGACTAAGCGCAGAAGAGGAGAGTATGAGGGCGAGAGAGCG